TTGGAGAAGGAACGAATGAACTCATGTCACCATTGTTCCAAAACAAGTACATTAGCTCAACAATTATGTCGAGGTGGGTGGTAACCCTTTAAAGGATTAGTAAGCAAGAACGAAGATAGCAGTTAGCGTCCTGTAAATCGGTCAAACCCGGCTCCTCGGTGTAGTTGTCCCCTTTGAGCCCGGAGTGCAGCTCCGCCGTGGTCCTGGTCCGTACGCAGGGTTTAACAGGTGGTGCTGCCGTGCCGTGCCGCTGGAACGCTGCGGTATCGCAGGGCACGACGGCTTGCTGGGCTCTGCCCTGAAACCGGAGTTGCTGTTAGGACTGCTTCGCTGGCTTTTCCTGCGAGTGGAGCGTAAATTGCTTTAAATTGCTGTCTGCTTCCTGCGTATGTGCAGCAGCAATTAGAGGCCCTGCGTATTAATGCTGGAGAGGAGCGAGGGAGTCAGATCTCAGCTGAGGTTCTTTGAGTGTCTGATCAATTTTTTCGGTGGGGAGGGAGTGCTGCTGCTCGGCGCTGTCATTACTGGGGTGGTTGATTATGCACAGGCCAAGCAGCTGGTGGTTACTGGTGGCGTGCACGCAGGCAGAACTGGTTTGTCGTATCTGCTGCTCTTCACCGGTTGCTCTTGGTGGAGAAACTGAAGTCAGGCAGGTGGAGCGACTGTCCTGACCTGCAGACCAGCACTCTCCTCTGTGCCAGCAGTTTCTTAAGCTCGTAGATGTCTCAAGTGCATGCAGAAATTCCTGGGAAAACCACTAAACCATGCGGGCTTATTCCGCATAGGCAGGCAAGCCAGATGCCAACAAAATGGGAAGAAGCGAAGGAACGGGCAGAGCAGTGCCGTGAATTTGATCCCCCAGCCGCTGAGTTGTCTCTCCAGGCCTCGCCGGCAGCGCTGAACACGAAGCGCGTGGCTGAGCCCGGGGATCGCCCGCGCGGGGTGGACTCTGGACCCCACGCAGTTTTGGTGCTGGCTTTTGAAATCAGATCCGCTCTGTTGAGCAATGCGTAACACGGGTGAGCACAGGGTGTCGTTTTGTGCCAGAGAAGTCAAGGTAATGATCAAAAAGACCAGGAAGGTCTGATACAAGTCAAGGCTATAAACGCAGTCGCTTGGAACGGTCCGGCCAGGTCTGTGGGGCTCGACAGAGCTGCCGAAGCCCCGGGCAGCGAGGCGAGCGCAGCAGGGAAGGTGGCTGGCCCCCAGCCTGTATCTCGTGAAACTGAGCGTTTGTTCTCCTCGCTGCCTTCGCACTTCTGTAACGCAGAGCTGTGCGACTCCCACCCACGTGGGTGCCGGCTGCGCAACCCCGGGTGGAGGAGCCGTGGGGGATGCGGCAGCCAGACCTGCACTGCTGGCGTTTCGCTTCCAAAGAGGTTGCGGGGTGTACGCTGTGCCAGCTCTTCCTTGCCGTTAAGTCCTAATGGGGCCTGTATCTGAGCGGAGAGCTCGTAGTTCCAGATTAGGGCAAAGTTTGGATTTGTGCTCAGCCTGTGTGCCAGCAAGTTCCTCCGTTTCCCTGCCAGGCCTGGCAGCGCAGGGCAGTGGCTCCAGCCAGGAATGCACAACGCGCGCCGGGCTCGTTTCTGTCCCGCCGTGCTGCGTGGTTTAGAAACTGGGTCGCTGGACAACTAGGTCAGGCAGAGGGACTTTTAGCCAGCTTTAGATTATGCTGCGTGTTCGGATTCAGTATTGTTAATCTTCGGTTTCAGAGCTCTGCCTTTCTTGCGTGACACTGGGGGTGTTATAGCACTGGCTGATGGGTCCCCAGCACCCCACGACTGCTGGGTGGCTCTGCCCCGGAGCAGGGCGGCCGTACGCTGGGCACCCATCCCAAGTACGGGGCTTGCGGGGGCCCAGCAG